TCAACACTACCTTCTTAATTTCTCTAATTAGAACTTTCTCCTACTTGCTGTAAAGTTTGCTTCAAGCTACCTCCTTCAAATCTGTTACCAAACTTACCTACTACTCAATCTTTAAATGATATTGCCTTCCAAATAATACAGAGGGACAGGCCGGGTGGCTCAGCGGTTTAACGCCACCTTCAGCCCCAGGGGTGATCCTGGAGACCTGGGATCGGGTTCCACATCAGGCTCCCTGCATGGAGCCTGCTTCTCCCTCTGCCTATGTCTCTGCCTTTCTCTTTCTCTGTGTCTCTCAGGAATAAATAAATAAAAATCTTTAAAAATATATATATACCAAATAATACAGAAACTAGAAACATTCAAACAGTAGTTTTCTCTACTTCTTGCCACCAAATCTATAAATTAGCTGTACTCATAATTAATTCCTTCCCTTCTTTACAATGAAGAGGTCTCCTTTTTCAATCAAGGGTTAATGCCCTTCACCTGTGAAATTACTATCCTTTCAGTCACCTTCTTAGAAGCTTTCTATCATCAATTATCTTTTCTCTTGAATCTTCAACCTTTCTCTCTCTATTGAGTCCTTCAATATTTAAACATGATCAGGGATCCCTGGGTGGCGCAGCGGTTTGGCGCCTGCCCAGGGCGCGATTCTGGAGACCCGGGATCGAATCCCACGTCGGGCTCCCGGTGCATGGAGCCTGCTTCTCCCTCTGCCTGTGTCTCTGCCTCTCTCTTTCTCTCTGTGACTATCATAAATAAATAAAATTTAAAAAAAAATTATAAAAAAAATAAACATGATCAAGTCTGTCATATTAAAAAGTGAAAACAAGGAACCCTCTGGATTCCATACTCCACCACAGCTGTGAGCCATTATGTCTGACCCCTCACAGACAGCTTCAAACAAGCTATCCTCTGTTTCTAGTTCCTGACATCCCAGTCATTTCCTCACCAATTCAAATTGAGTTTTTTCTGCTGCCACAATTCTCTAAAAGATACCAATGAAATATGCATCATGTTCTGCACCCTGCCCGTGTTATCATCTTTCTCATCATCTTCTTTTTTTTTTCAAAGATTTATTTATTGGGATCCCTGGGTGGTGCAGCGGTTTAGCGCCTGCCTTTGGCCCAGGGCGCGATCCTGGAGACCCGGGATCGAATCCCACGTCAGGCTCCCGGTGCATGGAGCCTGCTTCTCCCTCCGCCTGTGTCTCTGCCTCTCTCTCTTTCTCTCTGTGGACTATCATAAAAAAAAAAATAAAAAAAAAGATTTATTTATTTATTTATTCAGAGAGAGAGAGAGAGAGAGGCAGAGACACGGGCAGAGGGAGAAGCAGGCTCCATGCAGGGAGCCCGATGTGGGACTCGATCCTGGGTCTCCAGGATCACACCCTGGGCTGCAGGCGCGCTAAACCGCTGCACCACCGGGGCTGCCCCATCTTTCTCATCTTCTTAACAGCATTTTCCAACCAAGATCTCCATTCTTCTTGAAATACTCTCTCCCTGTGCCAATAGGGATACCATGATACCATTTCTTTAGATTTTCCTTTTCTTTTCTTTCTCAGTCTCCTTTGCTAGTTCATACACCTTTAGTTGATCCTTAAATCTCTGTCCTAAGCCTTCTTTTCTCCCCATTCTGTATTTTCCTTGTAAATCTCATCCTCTCCCTAAACTACCATTTATACACAAAAATTATTCCAGTCTAGGGCAGCCCAGGTGGCACAGAGGTTTGGTGCCGCCTGCAGCCTGGGGTGTGATCCTGGGGACCGGAGATCGAGTCCCACATTGGGCTCCCTGCATGGAGCCTGCTTCTCCCTCTGCCTGTGTCTCTGCCTCTCTCTCTGTGTGTCTATGAATAAATAAATAAAATCTTTAAAAAAATTATTCCAGTCTTGAACATTTATCCAACACTTCCACTTGGAGGTATACCTTAGAAGCAGCTCTAACAGTTGCAACACTGACTTTTTAAAAATATTTTATTTATTTATTAATAAGAGACACACAGAGAGAGGCAGAGACATAGGCAGAGGGAAAAGCAGGCTCCTAGTAGGGAGTCCGATGCAGGACTTAATCCCAGGACCCCGGGATCACAACCTGTGTGAAAGGCAGATACTCAATCACTGAGCCACCCAGGCACCTCTCCAAGGCTGACTTCACGCTGTCTTCTCCTCTTCAGTGTTCTCTCTGTCAATAATGAGCACCACCATTCATCCAATTCTTCATGCTCAGAGCCCAGAAACCATTCTTTCTTAGTTTTCACATCCTAATCACCTCTGGGTGATTGTATCTCCTAAATGTTTCTATGGAATCTTTCTACTCTCCATTTATCAGCCTAGTCCAAGTCACTGCAACATCTTACTTGTCCTCCTGCAATAGTCTTCTGACTAAATCCACATCCACACTTGCCCCAAAGTCCAAAGCACCTTAATGTTGTACAAGGGGGGCAGGGAGATAACACATCATCTTAGACACACTGGCCACAAAATAAGGTTTACAGAGAAAAACATGGAAGCAGAGAAATAGCAGAATGCACGCATTCTCTCAGTTATCATTATCTCAGAAAAATGTATACATCATCCAGAAATAGACACATGGTGGAGAGTGCTTGAGGAGAGATACCCCTTCTCCAACTGCATAGAAACACTGGAAATGTCTAGCTGACTAGTAAAGGACTTCTGGGCAGGTATATGGCCTTGACAGAAAAGAAGATGTCTACAGCTCAGTCTGGGGAGCTTGCTTAACAACCACCAATGACAGCCATGTTTTCCCATTGAACTATCTCACTCCTGCTGAGCCAAACAAAACAAAACAAAACAAAACAAAACAAAACAAAACAAAGAAAGAAAACAAAAAGAACCCTAGGCCATCAGGAGACCTCCTCCTTCTCCTCTTAATTGAAGACTCCACAAGATCTGGCAGTTGCCTATTTCTTTAGTCTTATATCAGGCCTCTTCTATGCTTCAACCACGAGGGCCTTCTTTTAATTCCTTAAGGAGTTAAATTCTTTCCCTTCTCAGGGCCTTTGCACACAGATGTTCTATCTGCTTAGTTAATCCTCTTTTTTGCTAACTGATTAAACTCCTAAAAGATTCATTTTTCAAGTCTTAGTTTAAATGTTAACTTCTCAAAAATCTTTCCTGACATTCCTAACTAGTTTCTAAGTACTGATAAAAGCACTCACAGCATGTTTATGTATCCTTTGCAAAATGTGTCTCAATAGAAATAATAACTATTTATGCAATTATTTAACATGTTTCTTGCCAGTGTAGGAGGTCTTTAAATGGTAGGAATGAACCAAAGCTGCCTTGCTCACACTGTAGTCCTTGTACTTGGCTGAGAACCTAAGCATAATCATGCTTAGTAGATATCTGACATAATCATGCTCAATAATATTTGTTAAATGAATGAAGTGTGGACTTTGAAGAGATCAGGTAAGGCAAGATGACTCAGAAATATACACTATGTAGCAATAATTCTGATTCTGAGGTTTTGGGGCTTTAAATTTCCGAAAAGTATGGATGACTCTGGGCCCGCACCTAGCACACATCTACCTCAAATTTGAGAACAATACAAATGAACCTCTGCTATAACTAATATAATAGGAGAGCTAGGGCTTTAGAGTATTTTAATTAAATATTTTTTCTTTAATTTTAATTCCAATGTAGTTAACATACAGTGTTACATTAGTTTCAGGTGTATAAAATAGCGATTCAATAATTCCATATATTTCTCAGTCCTTAGAGTATTCTTATGTAAGCAAATAAATCATTATTTTACATTGCTTTGTGCAATTCATTGACTAAAGTGTTGAAGGAAATATGAAGCCCTGATTCCTGACTTCAATCAGCTTACTTTCATTTAGAGAAAGAAGGCATATTTACATGAAAAGAAAACTGGTAACTAGGTACTCATCCATAAGTGAAGTAAGAATAACATGGCTCATTCAGCTAGAAGAAGGTGGGTAAAGTAGTGATCCTCAGCACTAGCTGTACATTCAAATTACCTGGGGAGCATTTAAAAAATATAGATGCTTCGGTCCTACCTCTAGACATTCTGATTTAATTGAGTTGGTGGTGGGCTTTAGACATTGGTATTTTTTAAAAAGCTTCCAGGTAGTTCTAGCATACAATCTGGTTGAGAACTACTGGTTTAAGGAGAAAAAGAGTAGCTGTACTGGAGAGATAGTATTTGAAATGCTTGACAGCTAGGTGAAATGTGGATAGGATAAAAGGACTGAGATCTTTTCAAATAGGAATTAAGGAGTAAGAAATGGTAGTAAAAGTGTAGAAATGGGAAAGGATAAAATATGTATGAGGATAGACAATTATTAATGAGTAGGCAAGCTATAATATGCTGAAGCAAAGTGTTGGCACAGAATAGTAGAAAATACCTTGCATTTTTATCCTCTCGGCACTGAGTGCTACTGAGCATTTTTGCTATATTATTGACATGATCAGAGCAGTATTCTACCACAGAACCCTCCCTATAAGTTGAGAAACTCCTCAATTAGGTGGCAGCTATAAAAATGGAAGAGATGGATGAAGAGTTAACAAAAGGATAAATCAGTAAGACTTTTGGCAGAGCCATAAATGGCATAAGAAGAATTTAAAGTCACATTGATAGCTTTAATAGTAAACACTATCATAAAGACAAATCCTCATTCTTTCTTCTAAGTTCCCTTAGCCCGCAAATATATACATCCACCATTAACAGCGATCCTAGTTCAATCTCTAAGAGTTATCTTTAATTTTTTTCTTAGAAAGAAAAATAATACTTTTTAATGCGGTAATCTATGATAAAAGGAGTTGAGATTTAAAACAAAAAGCTGATTTGAAGTAACACTTAAATTGCAAATCCATTACATCCTAAAGAAGTATTTAATAATTACCTTATAATTTGATGAATAAACATTATGCGGAATTTAAATTTTGAAGTAGATCATAAAACATCTCTAAATCCAGCTCCTTTAATTTAGAATAATTAATAGCTATTTCTATATCATACCTTGTATTTGGTCATGGTGCTAAAATGATTATTCCGAAAGAACACACAAAGTTCTCCTTCCTGAACCGTTGAAGTTAGTTCACATAATCCATGGTATGTCAGTTGAGTGGCTGTGTTATTTAGAAACTGCTCAGCTACAAAGCCTATGGAACCAATGCATAATATTAGATGGAAAAATAATTTCAGAATTAAGAAGTTTTTCTATTTACATTGTGTTCCAAGTATGAAGAAAGGCCAATCAAAATAAGATTTTGATACTATAACCTGATGACTCCAAAATAAGATTTTGATATTATAACCTGATGACTCCAAATTGAAGATTCTTCTAATTTTGCAATAGAAGATGTGTCTATAGACATTCTCCATTCTAAAGTAACAGTTACATGAAATTCTTTTTAACAATAAATGTATTTACTTATACTTCACCTATTTCCAAAAAAGGATTTCAGGCAGCTAAAAATAAAAGATATAGACACAATAAAACTAAAACCCTTTAAAACAAATAAGAAGGCAAGAGTTAGCAATTTAAAAAGTAGGTAGGAATGAAAGATGTATGGCAACAACTACCTTCCCAATGGAAAAGTGTTCAGCAATTAAAAGTACCCTTAACAACATGAGTTACTCTAAGATGTTAACAAAGATCCCACATAATTCTCAATTCACAAACTGTTCGGTTTTTGCCTTAGAAAACTGAAAACAGGTGAGAACAAACAGAAAACAGTGTATAACTAACTGATGCCATTTTTATCCTAATGTCCTCCAACATACACCACTTCACTATGTAGATATATCAAGTTCAGAGACAGCAATGATCTCTTTTGTTTTCAAAACACAATGGAATATTTGTACAGTTTCATACTTGCAAACTTGCCTACTAACTAAAATTTATTTATAAATCCAAAATCAATTCTTGCTGTGCTTTCAGGGTCAACCTTGGATATGTGCAAAGTGGCAAAAATTTTGAGCCATTCAATGCACACATTCCCCACTGTTGTCAAACCTGAGATCAAACCAAGCAATGTCTGCCATCTTGTTTCAGCTTTCTTACTATAAACGATTTTTACAGTCTATTAGGTGTGTCTTTTGGGGTAACTTTTACTGTGTAAAATGGCCCCCAACCATACTGTTGAAGTGCTGAGTAGTCAAAGGCTGTGTGATATGTCTTACAGAGAAAACATGTATTTTTGCAGATTCATTCAGACATGAGTTACACTGCTGTTGGCCATGAGTATAACGTTAATGAAGCAACAATATGTATTAAATAAGGTGTCTCTAAATAGAAACACAAATAAAACAAGGTTATATATTGATCGGTTGATGAAAATCTTGTGTCCAGAGGCTCATAGGAACCTAATCTTGTATTTCCCCCTAGGAGCAGTGGTTCAGTATTCATGAATTCAATGTTCACAGCAACTTTATAGAACATAACTGGGTAGCCTGGGTGGCTCAGCAGTTTAGCGCCACCTTCGGCCCAGGGCCTGATCCTGGAGACTCAGGATCGAGTCCCACGTCGGGCTCCCTGCATGGAGCCTGCTTCTCCCTCTGCCTGTGCCTCTGCTACTCTTTCTCTGTGTCTCTCATGAATAAATAAATAAAATCTTAAAAAAAAAAAAAAGAACATAACTGCCAGGAATAATAATCTGTATAAATAATTTAAAAGGCTGTATTTTTCTTCTTTCCTTCTGTATCTTCCTTCATCTTTTTGCTCCTTTCTTTAATAAGGAATGTCACAGATGCAATGCAGGTAGGGGTGGGGTGGAAGAGAATGCTCTAAAAAGTTTTAAAAGTGAGCAGAGAAGTGCAGATATAGGGAAGAAAGATGAACTTACATTAAGAAACTGACACCTCAACAATAAATTGAAAATAAACTTGGTAGAGCCAGAGGCAGCAGGATAACAGGTTTATTTCACTTCCTCTGCACCCCTCACCCTTAGTGTCAAGCTATAGAACTTTAAGCTGCCAAGTGGTTGTAAAAAGCTACCAATGTATCACACTATTCAAAGGAATTTGTTAAGGTTAGAGGGGAGGTGCAAAAAGTTATACAGAAGGCCCCTGAGACAGGAAATGTATAGCCTATTTGCATCTTCTTGGGTTTATACATTTAGAAGAGCTCCCCCCTTCAATTATTATCATTAACTTTGCTAAGTACTAAGTTACTGAGTAGAGAGAATGTATGTTATATACTAAAGCACTAGCTACATAATAGTTTTAGTTTTAAGCACTATACCCATGCTGAGAAGTACCACTGCTCTACATAATATCCACATTACTAAACGCTTCCTGCATAAGGATGTTTCTAAAGAACCCTCCCACACCTTACACAATATCCTCTCTAAAAATCTTTTTCAAAAAGATATGAAAAATCAGTGATTACTGAACTCACAACATTACTTCATGTGTGTGAAATTTAAAAATCCTGCACTAGAAACGTCTTTCTTAGCTACTTCTTTCTAGAGAACAGGACATCAGCTCAGAGGGAATGCATGACTTGCTCAAGGACATAAAACTAGTTATAGCAAAGTGAAGACTGGAACCCAGGAGAATTACTGGTATTAAGTTTAAAAATTTAGTGCTGATTATTACAAATGCAAACTGAATTGTATTTCTCCCAAGCTATAAAGCATATCCTAATCTAGACTTATAGAGAACAATGTTTCCTAATTCTTTTACCAACTCTTAAAATCACCTCTGTGATATTCATGGCATATTCAAAAGCCTAATCTAGTTTAAACTTTTCACAACTAATTAAACAAATTTTGGTAAATAGTTCTAAGTGTTACATAGCAGTTTACTTTCTGCATTGCTTCAAATTAACAGTTGATTTTCAACATTTAGCTTAAACTTCATTTTTTTTTAAAGTATGCTCCATGCTAGGAGCCTGAACGTGGAGCTTGAACTCATGACCCTGAGATGAAGACCTGACCTGAGATCAAGAATTGGATGCCTAACCAACTGAACCAACCAGGCACCCCTTAAATTTCAATTTTAATTTGTAGATACTGTTACTAATAATACTAAATAAGGTAAACGTTAAAATAACAGTAATAATAAAATTATATTACCAAAAGTAAATTTAAATTAAAAATTGTTTTCTTGACATTAGTGTGTTTGAAAATGTTTCTTAGGTTGAGAAATTCAATACTAAATTTATCAATTACTCTTCTCCATTACTGAGGAGTTATTAGAAAACACAAAAGTACTAAATGCCTTAAAGGAACTGAAATAGAAACAGAGGCACTAAAATTAGGCAAAAAGGAACAAAAAGAGGATATAGGAGAAAAGGAAACTTGGCTTATTTTTAAATGTTGGTTAGATTTGGCAGTGCTTAAGATGTGCATTCAAATTTAAACCCAATCAGAACTTTGTCACTGTGAGAGTTTTAAACAATTTTCTTTTTAATTTCATCTACTTCAATTTAAAAAAATCAAGTACATTACATTAATTATTTTTCCCCAAGAGGATGGGGCAAAACAATACCTTTTAGTAGAACGTATATACATATTTTCTTTGAAAATACAAGGGCTCATTGATTCCAGGGATGTGGTAGGGAGCCCAAAATAACCGTTGTGCCATAAATAAGGAAGTACTCAACAAATGAAGACATGTTAAACGAACATGGGATCGAGGTTGAGAGAATTCCACTGGATAAATCTAAGACAATCCTAAGCATCAAAGAGTCAGGATAATAACTGAAAATAACATAATGAATAAAAAAGAATCTGAGTCTACACTGATAAAAATTTTTTAATGGGGGATGAGAAAACACTTTTCATTTTTACAAAAGACTGCCAACTAATAAATGTAGAAGGAATAATAGAAATATAACCACTATAGTAATGGTTGACTCAGACAAGAATCACTAAGTGCCAATTGTACTGGCTGAAGGATTATTAGGGAACAGGGTATTCATGCAGTTTCAAAGTATAATGTCAGAGATTACTTATTAATTAATTACAAAAGGCAAAGGACATCTTTACAACAAAAAATCTAGCAGATACCAGTTTAATCATATTTCAACATCACCAATAAAGGGATAATCAGACATCTTATGCCACTTGATTTGATGCACTGGGAAAGATACAGTATCACCTTTGTAGTATTCCCACCAAAAATATACTCATGAGGAAGCAATAAAATGAATCCAAATTGAGGATTATTCTATGAAAAAACTGGCTTGGACTATTAGGAAAAGTCAGGATCAGAAAAGATCAAAAAAAAAAAAAAGGAAAGAAAAAGATTAGGGATCTGTTCTAGATTACAGGAAGCTAAATTGATATGACGATTAAATGATTCTTGACTAGAGCCTATATTGTAAAAATTCAAAGCTATAAGGGGACTTATTGGGATACCTAAAAAATTGAAAATATGAACTGCATATAAGATAAAGATTGTATTGATGCTAAATTTCCTGAGATAATTCTTTTGTGACTACAAAGAAGAATTCTTTGTTTTTAGGAGACAACTTAATAGGTAACGGGCTATATAATATTTGCAACTAATTCTCACATGATTTAGGAAAAAGTGTGTGTGTGCGTGTATAACAGAAAGAAAGCAAAACTTCAGTATGTTAATAATTGATGAATTTAGGCAAAGTATATATATATATATATATATATAATCATTGTTCTAACTTTTTTATGGGTTTGAAAGTTTTCAAAATAAAGGGAAAATCAATATCATTTAATCAGAAATGACATGAATTCAAACTATAAACTTCAATGTTTATGGCACATAATACATATTTGAATGAATATTTGAATTCAAATAAATATTTGAATGAATGAATATTCTGGAATTATATAAGCAATTTTTTAAACTTAGGAATAACTGTTAAGGAAGAAATTATTCCTGAGAAAGCATCTGGAATTAACTGACCAGCTCTGGTGGAGTCTGGCAGCTGGTACTGTGCTATTTTTTTTCCTTATTGATTTTTGCTGCCATGCCACACCCATCATTACAACTAAATTCAAAACTAGAAAGGACTGCCACCCAAAAGAGGTAGCAAATAAATACATACTCTATGTACAGGTAAAAGTTCCGTACTTTTACTTAGAAGGTACTGCCACCAAAAGAAAAAAAAATGTTATCTGAAAGAAGGTGAAAGAATATCTAACTCTATTTAGCTAAATATTATTGCTTTTTCATCAGAAAAGAATGATAGTAAAAATATTTCTTGTAATCTACACCTTATAGAGATGAAATATTTGAATTTAAAAAATATGGTTATCGGGGATCCCTGGGTGGCGCAGCGGTTTGGCGCCTGCCTTTGGCCCAGGGCGCGATCCTGGAGACCCGGGATCGAATCCCATGTCGGGCTCCCGGTGCATGGAGCCTGCTTCTCCCTCTGCCTATGTCTCTGTCTCTCTCTTTCTCTGTGTGTGACTATCATAAATATATATATATATATATATATATATATATATATATACATGGTTATCACCTGAGATTAAAGCTTAATACTTTTTAATAAAGAAGGATTAGAAATCACCTTTTGGATATTTTATGGATTCAGAAAGAAAGTTATAGTTATGGGTCAAAAAGAAAAAGAAAGCAGACTCCTTCAGCTAAACACTATACCTAAAAAAATAAAAAAATAAAAAAAATAAACACTATACCTAAGAAAATATGAGGAAGAAAACAATCAGGGGAAGCTAATTGCTACATGTGTGATCCTGGAGACTTGGGATCGAGTCCCACGTCACGTTCCCTGCATGGAGCCTGCTTTTCCCTCTACCTGTGTCTCTGCCTCTCTCTCTCTCTGTGTATCTCATAAACAAGTAAATAAAATCTTAAAAAAAAAAAAAAACTAGTTTAGCTTTTTAATTGTACTGAATTCCACATATAATTATTCCTTGATATAAAAGTCTGATATGCAGAAATCTACATTACAAAATTTAAATATCAAGGAATTAATCAATTCTGGTACATATTACCCAAATTCTATAGCACTAAAGAGGATGATTCCTTCCTTGCTTTCATCAAGGAGTTCTCAAGATATCAATACTATATAGCTGTAATTTTTTGTTACCCTGGGGAATCAATGTTAGAAAAATTGTAATAACAGTAGTAACATCAGGCTGAAAGAAAGGAGAAGTGGGATCCCTGGGTGGCGCAGCGGTTTGGCGCCTGCCTTTGGCCCAGGGCACCATCCTGGAGACCCGGGATCGAATCCCACGTCGGGCTCCCGGTGCATGGAGCCTGCTTCTCCCTCTGCCTATGTCTCTGCCTCTCTCTCTCTCTCTCTCTGTGTGACTATCATAAATAATAATAATAAAAAAAAGGAGAAGTGATGAAGGGGCTGGATTTTTGTTGTTGTTTACTTTGTTAATTAGCTTACTTTCTAAGTACATTACACCCTGGCTTGGGGAAAATACTATTACCAACTGTTCGCTATAGCTTCCTACCCTATAAGCCTATTCACCTCAATATCACTTCTATAGTTATCATTCAATCTGTTAACATTTGCTGAATCCTATTGCTCCCTCTCTTACTACTGAATAGCATATTGGAAGTTACTGAGAAACCTGGAATCTACACATGGAAATTTTCTTTACCGTCTGTTTTTTTTTAGATTTGGGTAGGGAATAGAAAGTTCTAGTGACTGGGCAGGCCGGGTGGCTCAGCAGTTTAGTGTCACCTTCGGCCCAGCGCCTGATCCTGGGGACCTGGTATCAAGTCCCACGTCAGGCTCCCTGCATGGAGCCTGCTTCTCCCTCTGCCTGTGTCTCTGCCTTTCTCTTTCTGTCTCTATGTCTCTCATGAATAAATGAATAAAATCTTAAAAAAAAAAAAAAGTTCTAGTGAGTGGAATTTTGTTAATTGAAAGTGTTTTTTTAAACAGCTTTTGTTGCTCCTCTTTCCCCTAAAATTAAACTTTGTTGTCTTGAGTTGTAGTGAAAGAGCTGTCATACATATCAGTGATGATATGATGATATCCCTGTATATTTATGTATTTATTCCAAGTAAAAGCCTCCACTAAAATATTGTTTTCTTGCTACCTGCTTCTTGAATAAATGTGTTAAATTTATGGATAATTGAATAATATAATTACTTGGGTTCTGATTAACATAGTATGTGATTCATGTACATATCTTCTCTTATATGTTTGTATATACTCTTGTAGTCATTTTTTAAAAATGTGGTGATTATAATCAACTTTCATTATACCTCATGTAAAAGGCTTATGTCTGAGAGAGGATGATGAAGCCCATCCCCTACTTCTCATTATTTCTCTTTCATTTATCCTTCAAAAAGAGGAGAACAGCAGCCTGAGTATTGGTGCATATTTATGAGAAAGTGAAGTGAGTGGTAGGAAAGGTATATCCAAATACAATGGCTCCTGATGGCACTCTGGTTTCAAATGTGCTTTTCCTTTCAATGACAAGAACACAGCTGAAAAAACATGAAACTGCTTCTATGATGATAAATTTAGCAATTTTAATTAGTTAGGGATTAGGAAAATCAGATGATTACAGGTATACTTTCATTAAAGTGCTTTAATATACTATATTGTACTGAAACATAAGGCAGAGCTCTACTAAAATAAACATTTGAGTTCATAATACTCATTCCAGTCAATTAGAAGATGAATTATAAAGTTTACTCAGTACTCCCAAATAATAATACTTTTTTTTAAAAAGTAACTATCAATAACTCCTGGGTAATAGAACATATCAAAGCTAACTAGTGATTCCAAAGAATTTTAGTAGAATCTAGGCCTGATTTTAGAAGTTCAGTGAAAAGAGTTCTGGAAAATACCTTTCACTGGTATCTTTATGAATAATTATTTCTTTTAATTCCTACAAGTAGCATCACTTATATTTTTTAGAAGTCTTATTTATGACATTTAAAAGATACTAAATTATAAGACAAGTTATTCTGCCAAGAATAAGTCAGGTAATAGCAACACTCACCCACCTTCACTAACCAGCTCACTATTGTCTGACTGCTTACAGGAGATGATCTTCTCCACTAGTTGGTTGTAGCTGCAGTTACCAACAGCTTTTACAATGTCATCAATCTAGAAAACAAATGACTGTCTCACTAATCATCATAGGATGAAAAACAATAACAAAGAAACCCATTATCACTCTTTAGGGTTTTATTCTAATATTATATTAAGTATAAAAGTATTACTTATGAAAAAGAAAATCAACATCCAACAGTTTCTTTCTAATTTTGTTTATAGCTCACTATAACATAGTATGAAAAATAATGCTTAGCTGTACCTCAGTTATGCAAAAAATAATGAAAAGGGATTATAACATGCAACTTTATTTAAGGTTATAAAGATGCATTTATGTGATTAAAATAAAAAGAAAACTATTTCAGGAGGAAAAATAAGAGGATTTCAGTTTTTTTCTAAAAAACAAATATTCTGCATTTAAAATAACTTATGGAATTAAAGTTCTCCCATTTTATTTATTATTTAGTTCTTAGCAAAGTATAGTGGAGATGCAAGTAGACATAACTATGTCATTTTCCTGAAGAAAAGTTAATTATTAATCAAGGACAGTATTTGTCTCACAAGTCTTTTTCTTGTTTTTTTTTTTTTTTGTTGTTTTTGTTTTTTAAGATTTTATTTATTTATTCATGAGAGACCCAGAGAGAGAGGCAGAGACATAGACAGAGGGATAAGCAGGCTCCCTATTGGGAACCTCCTGCAGAACTTGATCTCAGGACCCTGGGATCACAACCTGAACCAAAGGCAGACGTTCAACTGCTGAGCCACCCAGGCATCCATGCCTCACAAATCTTATTTAATCTTTGTCTTTGGCAGTAGAATAGAAAAGTAAACGCAAAGTTTTAAGCTATAGGAAAATGAAACTGGGCATCTCTACTCTGCTTCCATTATACTTTGCTTTGACTTTTGAAGAAAAAAACAGGTTTCTGCTGTCTAAACAACATGTTTTTATTGCCATCCCATCTGTAAAATATATTTACTTATAAACTACATGTACTGATCTATCTATAATTAAACAAATAGAAATTAATGCAATGATATAAGAGGACCAATGTTTTCTTTCCACATCCAAATGATCTTCTTGAATATTTACACTGTGAATACCATAAGTCTTCACATGTATCTGTATAAATAATACTCTGGACATTGTTTCTCAAACTGAGGAACTTGTTAAAAAGATCTAAAAGAATTCCAGGCTCAAGTTGCTTCTCAGTTGTCTAAATTTTCATTCCACTGCTTCATAGCAAAGTTTAGGAAAAACTGCTTTAGACTATAATTTTTTTGTACTTGCAAACTTGCAAAATTCTAGAATGGAAAAGCCTCTGAACCACTGTGGGACGGACTGTTGAGAAGAACAGTTAATTGAAAAAAGTCAAATCAGGGAGTTGTTGAAAAAATGTTATATACACATCTTGAACATTTCATGTTAAAATACACAATGTACTCATTGTCGATCTTTTGAGGCAGAGCCAAATAAGGCCTTTTCTTTGAAAGCAGAGTCTTATGATTCTACATAAACAACACAAGAGTATGACTTCCAGTTTTGATTTATTTATTTATTTATTTTAATTTTTTTTCCAGTTTTGATTTAAAGTGAAAACTTAGACCCTTAAGAAGCAATCTGAGGGCACAATTCCTTCATATTTTCATTATTCTTAACACTTTTACTGTTTACAGCAATTTTCCTTAGTGACTCAATTTCATTAAGTCTTTCGAAAGCACCTGAATTTTCAATCCTAAGAAATCCACAAAAATACAACTATAATCAAAACAAGATCAATATACAAAAATCAGTTGCACTTCTATAGACCAGGAATAAATAATACAAAGATTTCAAGTTTTCATAGGCCAAACCTCTACATTAGTATTTCATTCAATTAATTCCTTTGGGAGCCTTTTATGTACTGCTATGTATTAGGTGCTGTTAGAGAAACTGCAGACTCCGCAGTGAACAAAAGAGATGGTCTATGCTTTCATAAAGTTTACATTCTAGAGTAAAGACAACAAACCAAATAAGCAAATATATTATATGCTAGGTGGTTATATGTAGTGGTGTATAGCTGTTCTTTGTTCATTTTCATTGTATAGTTTCCCACAGCATGAATATACCATAATTTTTTTTATCATTCATTTTTTGATGGCTATCTTGGATGCTGACAGTTTGGGGCTATGACAGATAGTACTGTTATGAATATTCTTATACATTTATCCTATTCTACACATAAAGAGTTTCTCTAGGGAACGTGTCTTGTCAAATCGCTAAGTCTTAAGGTATGCTTATTCTCAATTTTGCTAGAGAACTCCAGACCACTTTCCAAAATAGAATGTCCATTTATTTTCTCAGCAGGAAATAAGTCTCTACATTGCGCATCTTCTCCAACACTTAGTACTGTCAGAGTTTTAAATATTAATTGTTCTATGTTCTAATGGGTGTATAGTGATATCTCATTTTGATTTTAAGTTGCATTTCCCTGATGACTAGCTATGTTGACTAGCTGTTTGGATATCCTCTTTTATAAAGTGCCTGTTCAAGTCATTTGCTCCTTTTTTTTTTTTTAAACTGAGTTGTCTATCTTAAAAAAAAATATATATATATATATATATATATATATATATATATATATTTGTAGGAGCTCTTTATACATTCTGGATGTTAATCCATAGAAATTATAATCATCTTCTACTTAGTAGCTTGCTTTTACATTTTCTTTGGAATTTCTCTAAAAAAACACAAGTTCTCAATTTTAATGTAGTCATGTTTACCAAAGTTCTTCATGGTTAATGTATTTGTTTTAGAAATCCTTTTCTATCATTAAGGTCAGAAACATACACTCAAACTTTTGCAGTTTTAGCTTTTACAGTTAAACATCAATGTATATGGAAACAATTTTATGCTGTAAGTTGGGAGAAATGATTTCATTCTTTTCTAATTGGTTATCTAATTAGATATGCAATAGCTACCTAATTGCCTTATTAGCACCTTTTATTGTAAGGACTGCCTTTCTCCTGCTCTACAGTGCCCTATTTCTGTCTATATATGCATGGTCTTGTTAGCTTCTCTATTCTCTATCATTGGTCCAATTCTTAATTACAATATTTAAAATATTTCCTATCTGGAAGAACAAGTCCTCCCTGCTTTTCTGCTTCAAGCATATCATGGCTTCCACTCCCAGCCTTTTGCATTTCCACATAAATTACAGAATCCACTTGTCTCATTCTACAATTACTCCCCATAAATCTTTTGGGATTTTGTTTGGGGTCATACTGAAACTAATTTAGAGAGAACAGACATCTGTATAAATTGTCTTAAAATCTAAAATCTAAGAATAGAGACTTCCATTTATAGGTCTCTAATTTCTCTCAAATTTAAAATTGTCCACACAGAGGTCTTGCAGATCTTTTTGTCAGTTTTATTCATAGGAACTTATGCAATGTAAATGGCATATTTTTAAAATTTCATTTTCTGTTATTTTATTTATTTTTTAAAAGATCTTATTTTTATTTATTTATTTTAAAGAAATTATTTATTTATTTGAAAGAGAGAGAAGGAGAGAATGGGAGAGCACAAGAGCTAGAGAGGAAGAAGCTGGCTGCCAATCCAGCAGGGAGCTCAATGCGGGCTTGATCCTGGGATCCCAGGATCATGATCTGAGCTAAAGGCAGGTGCTCAACCAACTGAGCCACCAAGGCACCCCAGAGATCTTATTTTTAAGTAATCTCTATACCCAATGTGGGGCTCGAACTCACAACTCCAAGATCATGAGTCGTAGAGTCTACCGACTAAGCCAGTCAGGGCACCGCTTCTGTTTGTCATTTTAAAATTCTTTCTGAAGAACGTTTATTTGCAGAATTTTAGCTTTGTTAACCTTCTTTATTACATATTTACTTTCTACCTTAACACTTTTTGCTTTTTAAAAATACGTTCTGATCTTTTTTAAATACCTTCTGCTCTTAAAATGGATATACAGCTTATTAACTTTCACATTAATATATGAATTTAGGGCTTTAAAAAGTCCTGTAAAAGTTCTTTTAGCTAAATCTCACAAGTTTTGGATTTAGTTATTGTGCAGTTTATTTATTTATTTATTTATTTATTTATTTTTATTTTTTTTTTTTATTTATGATAGTCACAGAGAGAGGGAGAGAGAGGCAGAGACACAGGCAGAGGGAGAAGCAGGCTCCATGCACCGGGAGCCTGATGTGGGACTCGATCCCGGGTCTCCAGGATCGCGCCCTGGGCCAAAGGCAGGCGCCAAACCGCTGCGCCACCCAGGGATCCCTGCAGTTTAAAATATACTCTTAAGTTTCATTATAATTTTTTGGCTCAACAATTTCTATTTTTCTACTGATTTCTAGCTTTAATTGCACTGTGGTCAGAGGAAATTCTATACTCTCTACATGATATAAATCCTTAAAAAAAACGAGGAAAAAAAAAGTGAAGCAAACCAAGAAATAGTCTCTTAACTATAGAAAGAACACACTGATGGTTACCAGAGAGGAGGTGGATAGGGGGATGGGTGAGACAGGTGATGGGGATTGAGGAGTGCATGTGTTGTGATGAGCACTGGGGGACATATGGAAGTGCTGAATCACTATATGATACACCTGAAACTAATATTATACTATATGCTAATTGGAATTGAAATAAAAACTTAAAAATAAATCAGTGAAGTGTGAATGAAGACTATAATTCAGCTAATAGTAATGAACCAGTATTAAATTTTGACATGTGTACCCAAGTCATGTAAGATAAAGAGAAATGGGGTGACAAGTACATAGGAATTCTCTGTAATATCTTTGTAAATTTCCTATGAATCTGAGATTATTCAAAAATAAAAAGTTCATTAATTTTTTAAAGAATATATATTCTTAGGTTTTGTTTCCTGCTTCTATCAGTTACAGAGAAAGATACAACATCTTCCATTATGACAATCTATTTCTTTTTATAATTCTGTTAAATTTTGCTTTATGTACTTCAAGATTAGAGGATTAGATGCATACAAATTTTATTTTTTACTGTCAAAAACTGACCTTTATTATTTGTGACAGTTCCCTTGGGTCCAAGGAAAGATCAATCAATCAGGTATTTACTTACTTTTTTTTTAAGTTTTCTTTATTTATTCATGAGCGACAGAGAGAGAGAGAGAGAGAGAGAGAGGCAGAGACACAGGCAGAGGGAGAAGCAGGCTCCATGCAGGGAGCCTGACGTGGGACTTGATCCCGGGTCTCCAGGATCACACCCTGGGCTGCAGGCGGCGCTAAACCGCTGTGCCACCAGGGCTGCCCAGGTATTTACTTTCTAGGTGTCTCCAGGCACATACAAATTTAAAATGATTGTATCTCCTCAGCAAAATTAAACATTAAGCAATTGTATGGCATCTTTTTTTCTTCTCTTTACTTGCAATCTTTGTTTTTTCTCTCTTGTGAACAATAAATACATATAGTTTAGCCTCAGAACCACTTGTAACTATAGCATTTAGTCCTATTGCTATAATTATATATTGAATTTATTAAATCTATTCTCTTTATCCCATCAGTACAACATTCTTTTACATTTTTTCCTTCTTTCTTTTTAGATTGATTCATTTTTCTCTTTTCTCCTTGTTTAGAAGTTAGTCACTATGTTTTTCTATTCTTTTTACAGTTACTCTAAAAGAGCGTTATCCAATAGCACATTCTGTAATAATGGAAATATTCCAAATTTGTGTTGCTCAATAAAATATCCACTAGCCACATGTGACTACTGAGCAATTGAAATGTACCGCATACAACTCAGAAACTAAATTTTTCATTAAATTTAAATACCACCCTTGACTACCACATTGGACAAAGGAGTTATAGGAACTATAACATCTGTCCCTACACAAAGTCAGAAGTTAATATTCTCTTCTTGAACTATTAATTCTAGGCCCTTAGAATACTTTAACTTCCTCCCAACCTATGTTATTATTTTTGTATTTGCTCATATTCTTTTTTAAAATCCCAAAAGATAGCATTATTTTTGATACAGTCCACAATTATCTATATTTATCCTCATATGTATCATGTTATCATTCACTTTTCCCTCCATCTGTGATTATTTTTCTTCTTTCTAAAATCCTTGTTTAGAATTTCCATTAATGATGGTCTATTACTAGGAAGCTATCTTTTTTTTTTTTGAGATTAAAAAAGAAATTAAGTAAGCTCTACACTCCATGTGGGCTCGAACTTACAACCCTGAGATCAAGTCACATTCTCTACTGACTGAGCCAGTCAGGCACCCCAAGGAAGCTATCTTAATTTAATTAATCTACAAAATGATTTTGCTACATTCTTGAAAGATAATTTTTCTGGGAACAGGATTATAGGTTAGCATTTGTCTTCTTTTAGTACATTCAATATATCATTTCCACTGTTACCTGGCTTCCAATGTGCTTTTAAAGAGTTAATTATCCAAAAAAATAAAATAAATAAATAAATAAATAAATAAATAGTTAGTTAGTTATCAAGTAATAATGAAGAAATGTTCTCTCAGTGGCTGAATTTTGGTGCCTATCATTAAGAGAACTGACTTATTTGTAAGATAATCATTAGCAGAATACATCATCAGAATACAGAGAACTAACCAGTTCTAAGAGGTATTTCATATACACCTATAGATTTCAAACTTTTACCTTGTTTTTTCCTTTCACAGCAACAGAATCATTCTGTCACAAAATAAGTAAATAAAAGAGATAAAATGCTGGACATAGTTACGCTTTTCAGTGATACTTCCAGAGACAGAATGCCAAGATACAGATGCTTTGTTTGTAGTAATCCATGCTTTTCTTGCCCAGACTACCAGTTGCTTTTACCAATGGGCAGGGGTGAAGAAACTATTGCTATTGTGATCTCTCTGTCCTTGTAGTAAACACATGTGGACAGGTATGCATGCTTTGTGCCATCCATCAGTATTTACTAAGAACCTACTATGTGCCAAGCACTATTCTAAACAATGAGATATAAGAGCCTAGCCCTCATAATACATTCTAGTGGGAGATGAGAGTCCACCAAGTAAAAGAATAAATAATTCCAGATAATTGTAAGTGGTAAAGAAAATCAAATAGGATCATGGAAGAGGTCATGACTGGGGAAAAGGAGGGTGACTAATTTCAATAAGTCAGAAAAGGTCTCTCTAACAAGGTGATAATTGATCTGAGATTTGAATAATGAGGTACCAGAAACATGAAGATCTGGGAGAACAATGTGTTTAGGGTAGTAAGACAATGGTCCACAGCAGACAATCAGCTAGTACAAAAACCTGAAAGGAACTTGACATGTCTGAAGAACAGAATAGCAATTAGCATTACTAGAGAATTAAAAAAAAAAAAAAAAGGAGAATTATATGAGGTGAAGTTGGACAGACAGGCAGAGTCTAGGTCATGCAGCTTATCATAAAAACTCTAATAAGGATTTTGTATATTATTGGAATTACAGTGGAGGCTTTTAAGGAAAGGAGGGGGGCACAGGAATCAAGGGGAGGGTTATTTTACAAAGATCACTCTGAATATGAAGACAATTTAATGGGGAAAAGGATAATCTTTTACAAAGAGTACAACAAATACTACTAGGACAACTGGATATCCACGTGCAAAAGAATAAAACTGGATCCTTCATCAAACTATATACAAAGATTAACTCAAAATTGATCACACTCCTAAATATTAGCACTAAAACTTGATAAAATTCTCAGAAGAAGATAAGGAGTAGGTCTGTGATTTTGGCTTAGGGAAAGCCCTCTTAGGACATCAAAAGCATAAGCAACAAGAGAAAAAAAAAGATAAATTGGACTTCATCAATTAAATAACTTTTGGCGGATGCCTGGGTGGCTCAGCGGTTGAGAGTCTGCCTTCGGCTCAGGGCATGATCCTAGGGTCCCGGGATCAAGTCCCACATTGGACTCCCTGTGAGGAGCCTGCTTCTCCCTCTGCCTATGTCTCTGCCTCTCTCTGTGTGTCTCCAATGAATAAATAAATAAAATCTTAAAAAAAAAATTAACAACTTTTGGGCTTTAAGAACACCATCAGGAAAGTGAAAACACTATCACAGAATGTTAGAAAATAGTTACAAACCATGTATCTAATAAGAGACTTATACCTAGAATATATACAGAACTCTTTCAACTCAATAATAAAAAGACAAATAGCTCAATTAAAAATGATGAAAGTATCTGCAGACATTTCTCCTACGAAGATATGCAAATGGCCAATAAGCACATGAAAAGATGCTCAACATTAGTCAAAAGAAATATAAACAAATCCACAATGAGATACAACTTTATACCTTTTAGTATGACTATATTCCAAGTAACATAATAAGTGTTGGTAAGAATGGGTTCAGTTTGTAGTTGACTTCTAACTCCTTGAAGTTACACTCAGAAGTCTTGAACAGATTAAACAATCTGGAGGACACAGCCCTTAACCTAATAATTTGGCTAATTTCAGGTAAAAAGCACAAAAATATAACAATCAGAGGAGTGCCTGCATGGCTCAGTTGGCTAAATGTTGAACTCTTCATTTCAGCTCAGGTCATGATCTCAGGGTCGTGAGATCGAGCCCTGTGTTGGGCTTCACACTGGGCATGGAGCCTGCTTAAGAGGCTCTCTCTCTTGTTCCCCCTCCTCTTCCTCTGTCATTCCTGCTCAATTTCTCTCTCTATCTCAAAAAAAAAAGGATATATATATATACACACACACATACACACATATATGAAACAATCAGAAAATATATATCTATCTAGATTAAATTTCCAAATGAATAAAATTTTACTACATTTGTGTTTATATAATTTTAAAATCTCTACTTACCTGTGGGTCCACTAACCACCCATGGTACAAAGGAATATCAAGAAGATCAAATACAATGCATTCTGGTGTATATTCAAACACTCGAACACCTGTGAATTTTACATTTACATCCAAGCCTGTCTGTAGTTTGTGCAGGATTGCCATAGCATCACTCATATTCTGAAAATAGAAAGGAGAAAGGTAAAGATGAGAAAAATCAAATGACAATGACAATGGCAAAGATATTTGAATGCAGGCATATTTACTTGTAATTTTCCATTTTATCCAATTTATTTTTCCCTTAACCAATTTTTATTATTAAGTGCCTACTATGTACCAGGCACTAATCTGAGTTCTAAAAAGATAACAGTAAATAAAACAAAGTTCCTGATCTCATATAACTAATATTCTATTTTGAGAGACAAATATATATACAATATAACGTCAAGTATTTATGAAAAATTGAATAGAATAGTGACATACAGACTGACAGGGATGAGAGATCTATTTTAGACCACAGAAACTAAATAAAGAAAAGTTTCTAGTCAAAGAGTATTGCCTCTCCCACATTTGGGCATATATCCAAAAGAATTGAAATTAACCACCTGAAAAGATACTTGCATACCATGTTCACTGTAGCATTATTTATAATAGTTAAGAGATGGAAACATTCCAATGTCCACTGATAGATAAATGGATAGAGACACTGGTATATACATACAATGAAATATTATTCAGCCTTAAAAATAAAGGAAATCTTATTACATGCTACAATATGGATGAAACTTGGGGACATAAAGCTGAGTGAAATAAGGACCACAAAAGGACAAATACCATGTGATTCCACTTACATGAAATATCTAGAATAGTCAAAATCCTAGAAACAGAAAGTAGAATGATGGTTGTCAAGGAATGGACAAAGGGAAAGCTGGGGAGTTGTTCAATGAGTTTAGAGTTTCACAGTTTTAACAAGATGAAAATGTCCTAGAAATTTGTTATCAATATGAATATAGTTACACTACCGAACTTTACACCTAAAAATGTTAAGGGATTAAATTTTATATTATTTTTTAATCACAATTCAAAAAGAAAAGGAAATGAGCTATCAAGCTTGAAAAGACATAGAGGAAATTTAAATGTACATTACTAAGTGAAAGAAGCCAACCTGAAATGGCTGCATAATGTATGAGTCCAAATGATATTGTGGGAAAGCAAAACAATGGGGACAGTAGAAACATCAGTGGTCGTTAGGGGTTAGGAAGAGGGAGGAATGTGTAAGCAGAGCACAGAGGATTTCCAGGGCAATAAAACTGTGTATGGCACTATAATGGTGGACATTTATCATTATATATTTTCAAAACCCATAGAATATTTAACAAAAGTGAACCTAATGTGAACTATGGACTCCGGGTGATAATTATGAGTCAGTATAGATTCATCAATTATAATAAATGTATCAATGAATGGATATTGATAGTAGGGGAATGTTGTGTATGTATGTGTGTGGGGGCAGGAGGTATACATATACATATACCATGTATACTCCATATACATGGCAACTCTGTTCTTTCCACTCAATTTTTCTATAAACTTAAACTACTTTAAAAAGGTGGGGGAGCTCTTTAAAAATGACACTTAAATATCAACTAAAGCAAAATCTTGAGTCTTGGGAAGCTCTGGGAAAAAAAGCACTTCAGACAAAGCAGATACTAGTACAAAAACTCTGCTGCAGAAATTATTTGATACCATGCTCATGGAACAGCAAGGAGTCCTGCATGGCTAGAACAAAATTAATTAAAAGTATAAAGTGGTGGGAGGTGAAGTCAGAGAAAGACAGAAAAAGAAAGATACAAAGACTTGTTTGCCCAAATTAAGGGGGTCATTCTGTCCAAATCTGTTTTCTGTAAATATGGTCACATAAATCTGTAATGAATACTATTTTAAAACATGTTTTCCTAAACATTTTTAATACATTAAGTATGGTCATATGTATAGAAGATATATTTGATGAACCAAAAAATTCTAATATATAAAATTTGATATAATTTTACTACTGTTAATCAGACAATGTGCTACATATTGAAGATAGAAAATAGGAGGAGACTATAGCCTACTGGGGGTCTTATTGTAGAAAGGGTGAATATGAAGTAAATCCTTTTGTATTAAAACTAGGGACTCGGGATCCCTGGGTGGCGCAGCGGTTTGGCGCCTGCCTTTGGCCCAGGGCACGATCCTGGAGACCCGGGATCGAATCCCACGTCAGGCTCCCGGTGCATGGAGCCTGCTTCTCCCTCTGCCTGTGTCTCTGCCTCTCTCTCTCTCTCTCTCTCTCTCTCTCTCTCTCTCTCTCTCTGTGACTATCATAAAAACAAAAAACAAAACAAAACAAAAAAACCAGGGACTCTCTGAAATTTGAAAAAGACAAACTTAGGTCGTAACAACAAAATGTCTGTTTTACCAAATAACAAAATTCCATTTGAAGAGACTCTACAGACTGAAAATAGAAATTATTCAAATGTTTTAAATTTATCAATGAAAAATTTATAATAGGATAACATTGTTATATAGTCTGGCATTCATCAGTTTCACCTCTTCCTAATAACTATATTCTCTCAAAACAATGTATTTTTTCAATCTTCCCAAAAATTGAACCCTTGAAAATAATCAGCTTAAATTTTTTTCCCTTCAGTGTTGTAACACTTATTTAAAGCCAAAGCAATGATGAATCTGAAAAAATAGTAATAGTAGGCTATTATAGGAGTAGTTTTACCACTACTGAGTTTTCTTCTGCAATTATTAAATTCTTGGTTGCCAGTCATCCAATTTCCATTAGGGGAGGTATAATTTCTAATAACTCCTGGGCTCATGCTTACACTTTTATATATCTTCTATATTTCTTTATAAGTTATATAGTATTAAAATATTTAAAATGACATTTGATAATCTCCATGAAGATTAATAACATCAATAAAGAAATAAACATTTGTAAACAAAGAACTAAAAGATAATATTTTGCCATTTTGTTCAAATCCAAATTATAATTTATAATATAAAATATAAATCCTTGGGTTGGTTGCTTACATTGCAAGAAAGAATTACTATTAGTTCCTTTAAGCCAGTGGTTAAACTGTTTTTTATTTTTTTATTTTTATTTTTTTTTCGGTTAAACTGTTTTTTAGAGGTTTTTCACAAGGTACTTCTGACATGGCGAAATATTTTAAATTTAAGTATAAAATCCATTGAGGTGCCTGGGTGGCACCATTGAGCATCTACCTTCAGCTCAGGTTGTGATCTCTGGGTTCTATAATCGAGCCCTGTGTCGAGTGGGGAATCTGCTTCTCCCTCTACCTCTCCCCACCATTCCTGCTCTCTCTCTCTCAATCTCTCAAATAAATAAAATCTTTAAAAATAAGTATAAAATCTATTTTAAAAATATATTTGTAGTCATTCAAAAATCTGTGATACATACATGCGCAAAAACAGGGTGCTTTCTTGTGTTGTCAGGGTATCCATCATAAAGCAAAACTGGAAAAATACACTTTTTGTTTATTTATATTACTACTTCTGATAAAGAAGTTTTAATTAGGAAGATTTCAGCTCTACATTGGTCTTTCTCAAATTTAGGGTGAAATATTTCTGTTCACATAAAATTATACAAAAAAGAAAAAAACAGTGTTAAATCACACCTGTGGAACATTAAACACCAGCTTAAACTCAGCCTTATCCACATGCTATTCTCACACTAATAGTAATTTAATTATAATACCTTATAAATAGTTTAAAAGTGTATCTTAAATGCAGAGTATTTTTCATTTGGCATGTATTTCTCTTAAGAAATTTAAGTGGTTGTTTGAACTTGAAACAAAACTTTGCTTCCAATCATTTTCTAAGAGTCTAGATCACTTTAATGGAAGTGTTTCCTGAGATTGCAGAAGGACTTGAAAAAACAAACAAAATAATGAAATCACTGGCAAACATTCATCAATCAAGATTTTCTCAAGACTGTGCAATAAAAGTAAAGTGAATTTTGAGGTTGATATTAAGCTGCAAAACAGTCTCATTAATTTCAATCAGAAATGATATAAATTTGGGCAGCCGGGTGGCTCCGCGGTTAGCGCTGCCTTCAGCCCAGGGCATGATCCTGGAGACCCGGGATCGAGTCCCGTCAGGCTCCGTGCAGGGAGCCTGCTTCTCCCTCTGCCTGTGTCTCTGCCTACCTCTCTCTCTCTCTCTCTCCTCTCTGTGTATTCTAATGAGTAAATAAATAAAATCTTTAAAAAAAGAAATGATATAAATTTGATATATAAATAATATAAACTGAATCATCACTTTATACTTAAAATATCACTTTTATATATTGGAGCTTAGCATGAGATTTCATTTGAAAATAGGTTTCTAAAGTGAAAATATTTGCAAATTATTGCTGTAAGCTATAAATTCCAATAGAATTTAAATGACTTAGCGTACCAATTTGGCTTAAACTACAGATTTCCCACCTTACAGAGTGAAGCAATGCAGTATGTTGGCTTTGCAATTCTATTAAGACTAAATATGAAGATTATCTGATCATTCAAATTCAAGAAATTTTGCAATGTTGAAGTGAGTTTTGCTTCCTTTTTGCCTATTTAACACCGGTAAAAAGTATGTAAAAAAGGTTCCTTTGAGAGTAAATATAAAGGTTCCCCATGATGTTTATTTCTTCCCTGGCTCATACTTTCTTCCACTGTAAGAACCTGATTCTTCTTGCCTTCTACTGTCAAACAGAGCAAGAATACTGAAGAAAATGAAGTTCTCCTTGTTTTCTTCCAGTTCCAATAGTTTTGAGCTTCTCTTACTTTACAGAATAGCATCTCTAAAAAAACATGCAAGAAATGTGGACACACTGAACCCATAAAATAGCAGATTTTGTCCTAATGACACACAACAAATATAATTTACTCAACTTCCTCTCAAATATAACTTAATTATAAAATATAAATAAAACATGGAATGTTTTTAATCAGTAACAATAATTAATGTTATTAATCAATAACAAATTTACTTGAAAGTCAATTTTTCAAGAAAAACACTAGGTTATCATTCTACATAGATCTGTAGGATAATATTTATGTTTCATTCCATATAGCATATATGTTCATATAAAACAGAGATTGGAAAAGTATGGCCTATGGGCCAAAACTAGCTGAAGCTAAGAATGGTTTTTACATTTTTAAAGGGTTGTAAAAAAAAGAAAAGAAAACTAATATGCCTACAAAGTCACTGACAGAGACCAATGAAAACATCCATAAGTTAAAAATTATACATTTTAATATAACAAAAATTGTGTCTGTTACCTGCTCGTAGTTTAAACGTTGAATTTCCGAAATTTCTTTTGGCTTTGCATCAAGCATGTAATCTCCTGTAAAAAGAAATTGTGAACTTGCCTTTTTAAAATATCACTTAAAAAAATAAATAAAATATCACCTTTTCATTACAAAGGTAATAGATTCTAACTATAAATTATAGAAATAAATGAAACAAAATTGACCCCCAGTTCTGCTCAGAGAAAAATTGGTGTTAACTAATGGCTATAGTCTCATATGTTTTTTTTTCAATGTACATACTATAATGCTTTGACCTTTTTCTTCCACTGTACAATATATTTGAGCATTTTTCCATGTCACTACAATAAAGCTCTAAAAGGTTGTACCAAGTCTCATTGCTATCAACAATATAAACTACTACCTCATTACTTTTTCAAGAACAGGTGTTACTAGTGTTTTAAATGTTTGCCATTCTAAAAAGTAACATAAAATATTTTTTGCACTTGAAAAATTGGTATATATGTATTTATATGTATTTTATATTTGTATTTTTATTTGTTATCATCTTTTTCCTCCCTGGTATTACTTTTTTTTTTTTTTTAAGATTTTAAGAGAGAGAGAGAGAGAGAGAGAGAGTATAAGCAGGTGGAGTGACAGGTTAAGGAAGAGGGAGAAGCAGGATCCCTACTGAGCAGAGAGCTCGATGTTGGGCTTGATCCCAGGACCTTTGGATCATGACCTGAACTGAAGGTAGATGCTTAACCCAGTTAGCCACCCAGGTACTTTCTGTTATCAACATTTTAATATATGTATGACTTAGTATACATACGTGGCACCTTTTTAATCTATGTAACATTTTCCCAAGATCCTGGAATCAAGTTCCACATCAGGCTCCCCACAGTGAGCCTGCATTTCCCTCTGCCTATGTCTGCTTCTTCTGTGTGTCTTTCATGAATAAACAAAATCTTTAAAAAAAAAGATTATATTTATTATTTTAGAAAGAGGGAGAGAGTGCATGCAAGCAGAGGAAGGAGCACAGAGGGTGGGTGCGGGAAAGAATCTCAAACAAACTGTGCTGAGCATGGAACTCAATGTGGGACTTGATCTCACAACCTATGAGATCATGAACTGAGCTAAAACCAAGAGTCGGATGCTTAACTGACTGAGCCACCCAGGTGATTCTATGTTTACCTTTTTATTTATATACTAACTATATATACTTTTCTTTTTTTTAAGATTTATTTATTTGAGAAAGAGAGAGCGAGTGGGAGGAGTGGCAGAGGGGGAGAATCTTCAAGTAGACTCCCTGCTGAGCAGGGAAGCTGAGGTGGGGGGGCCTCAGTCTCACAATACATGAGATCAATACTTGAGCAGAAACCAAGAGTCGTACACTTAACAGACTGAGCCACACAGGTGCTCCTATACTTTTCTTTTAATTGCCTGCCTATATAATCTTTTTCTTATTGAACTATAAATGCTTTTTTATTTTTATAAAATAATTTTTTTTAAGATTTTATTTTTAGGGCAGCCCTAGTGGCTTAGCGGTTTAGCGCCGCCTTCAGGCCAGGATGTGATCCTGGAGACCCGGGATTGAGTCCCACGTCAGGCTCCCAGCATGGAGCCTGCTTCTCCCTCTGCCTGTCCCTTTCTCCCTGTCTCTAATAAATAAATAAAAAATCTTAAAAAAAAAGATTTTACTTTTAAGTAATCTCTACACCTAACATGGGGTTCAAATTTACAACCCGGAGACCAAGAGTCACATGCTCCACCAACTGAGCCAGCCAGATACCCCTCTCTTTTTTAAAATGACTTTTTCTTTAATGGAAGTATAGTTGATACACATTATATTAGTTTCAGGTGTACAACATAGTGACTTAACAACTCTATATGTTATGTGGTGCTCACAAGTGTAGCTACCATCTGCAATATCATTGACCATATTTCCTATTCTGTACATTTCATCCCAATGACTTAATTCATTCCATAGCTGGAAGCCTGTATCTTCCACTCCCCTTCACCCATTCTGCCTATCCCCTCCTGCTCCTCCCCTCTGGCAACCATCAGTTTGTTCTCTATATTTACAGGTCTGATTCTATAAAAACTCTTTTACAACTAGAAAATTAGAACACTCCCTGTTATACTGTGTGGTAAATATTTTTCCCTATATTGTATTCTGACTTTATGGTGATGCTTTTCATCTATTTTTACCATACAGAAATATTTAATTTTAATAAAGTCAAATTCTTCTATTATGGCTTCTGATTGGATGTCATATGTAGAAAGATCTTTTCCTCTTAAGCATATACAAACACTCATGTGTGCTTTCTTCATGTAATTTTATGTTTACTTTTTTAAATGTTTAAATCTTTAATTTATCTGGAATTTATTTTGATATAAACAGTAATATATGGAATCAAATTCTCACCTAGCCTCCCAAATCACTAGGTTGCTAAAACTGTATGTGTTTGTATGTATGTTTTAAGATTGTATTTTTAAATAATCTCTACACCCAAAGTGGGGCTTGAACTCACAACCTAGAGATCAAGTGTCCCATGCTCTATGGACTGAGCCAGCCAGGCACCCCAAAATTGTTTTTAATATAACTTTTATTTTTCTAATTCAGAATAAACCTCTAAAGACTGCATCAAGTATTCTCTTAAGCTTTTCAACAAGAGATTTCTGATAGCATCAAGAACCTCTGATAACAGAAGATTCCTATGGGATGCCAGGTTTGAGCATCTACCTTTGGCTCAGGTTGTGATCCTGAGGTCCTGGGATCGAGTCCCGCATCAGGCTCCCTGTAGGAAGCCTGCTTCTCCTTCTGCCTCTCTCTGTGTCTCTCATGAATAAATAAATAAAATCTTTAAAAAATATATTCCTATGAACATCAACATATTATTATTTGTGCTTTTTGTCTATGTGTGCTTTTAATTAGAACTTTAAGATAGCAAAATCTAACTAGTAATGATTTTATTCCATATAGGCACAAGAACTCCCAAAGCACCAAATTAGCTAATTCACAAAAATGTATAAGCAAGTCTACATAACATTTTTGAGTCTTTTCTATACATGGCACATGGTTTACAATGTGTAAACCTCACATTGTATGTTGAGGTTTCTATACAGCATTTAACTGAAAATTATGCCTTAATAAATTCTATACATCATTTACTCAAATAACTGAGAACTGTACTTGTATCTCATATTTAGGTTCTGTATTTATTCTGATAAGACTATTTGTTTTTCTGACAAAAACTTTAGTGGAGTCAAGATGCAGAACATTCGATAATTCAATATTAATAAACCATGAACATGCTATAATAAATAAAAACTTAGATGCCAAGAGTAGAATAATTATTATAAAAGACTCAAATGTGCAACTCCTGAGGCCAGGAAAGTCTTCTGCACAAGAGAATAGCTTGGCTAAGGTCAGCAGCTTCTTAGTTGGATCTTAATAGCGGCACCTGGGTAGCTCAGTCGGTTGAGCATCCAACTCTTGATCTCAGCTCGGGTCTTGAATTCAGGGTCCTGAGTTTGAGCCCCACATGGGGCTCCATGCTGGGCATGAAGCCTACTTTTAGATGGACCTCAATAATTCCCGTCTTCTGGTATTCATGTCTTTGTATAATTCCCTTCCCTTGAGTATGGATTAGATTTACGGATTCACTTCTAGTGAATAAAAAAATGACAAATAATGAAATGTCACTTCTGAAATTAGAATACAGAACACTGCAGCCTTTGTCATGATGCTTTCCCAGTTGCTCACCCTGTGGAAAGCCAGGTGCCATGTTCTGAACTGCCTTATGGAGAGGCATGGAACTGAAGGAGCCCTCTGGCTACAGTTAGTGAGAAACTGAGGACCTGAGTCGAACAACTCGTGAGGAACTCAATCCTGCCAACAACCATGTGAGTAACCTTGAAAGCAGATCCTTCTGAGTTGGGCCTGGGGATGAGACTGCAGCCCCCGCTGATACCCTGACTGCAACCTCATGAGAAACTCTAAGCCAGTCACTCAGCTAAGCCATGCCCAGATTCCTGATCCATAGATACTGACAGATAATAAATGTTCATTGTTAAACCAGTGAATTTTGGGGTGATGTGTTGTGCAGCAATAGATACCTCTATTTTTAGGAAAGTTTGTAATAAAAGAATCATATATTTTTAAAGGCTGAGTTTGAGTTTCTAAAAGAGATTTAATTATCTAAATAAATCATCTCTTAAGAGTGCTGTTTATATCTGAAACTGGTCAACAATAAATACTATTTCAGGGGCTCAGCTGGTTAAGTGGCTGACTCTTGATTTTGGCTCAGGTTGTGATTTTAAGGTTGTGAGATTGAGCCCCACATTGGGCTCTGTGCTGGGCATGGTGCATGCTTAAGATCCTCTCTTCCTCTCTCCTTCTGCCCCTTCCCTACCTCTTTCTCTCTCCCACGCAAAAACCAAAAACAATATTATTATATTCAAAAAAGTATTTGAGAGCCTATTATGAGTATTTAATAATGAGCTAAAATAAATATTAGGAAATAAATGTTTCTCTTAAAAAACTATTCAGTTGGGAAAAGAACATACAAGAAACAGAGAATTAGATGATGTAAAGTACAATATAGTGCAACATGTAATAAATGCCTGAAGTACCAATCGATTTTGAAAAGAGATATATTTTTTAAAGGTTTTATTTATTTATTCATGAGACAGAGAGAGAGGCACAGAGACACAGGCAGAGGGAGAAGCAGGCTCATGCAGGGAGCCCAACACGGGACTCGATCCCGGGTCTCCAGGATCAGGCCCCGGGTTGAAGGCAGCACTAAATCACTGAGCCACCGGGGCTGCCCTTGAAAAGAGATATTGATAAAGCCTATGGCACCTAGAAATATCCTTATCAGGGGCTCATATCTAAACTGGATTCAGAAAAAGGGGCAGACTTAGCAAGGCAGTGAGGGAAAAAGCATTCTTTGGGGAAAGTGACAGAAAAGCACATATTAAAAACATCACGCCATGGGAGTGCCTGGCTGGCTCAGTCAGTAGGGCATGCAACTTGATCTCATGGTTGTGAGTTCCAGCCCCACTTTGGGTATAGAGGTTACCTAAAAATAAA